ACTTCTTATTTTGATCAAGTGTAAAAATAAGGAAGTGTTAAATTGTAGTTGACTTTCAATTTTTGTCCCTTATGTGATGAGTAAAAGTAAATTGTGATGGATAGATTATTAGAAAAAAACGTATGATGTGATAGGTAAGATATGCTCCCTCCGTTCAACAATAAAGTTCTCGTTCACTATTCACATGGTCAAACTTTATTCACTTCGTTGGCCTATTTTTGTGTCTTATTTGATAAAATAATATAGTCATGTAATCTCTAGTTTTGTAGATCTTTTCATATAGTTTTTAAATATGTAATTTTTATTTTTTAATTCCATACCATTTTTCATATAAAATTATTTGAAAATAATTTCAGTCAAACATCATAACGCGCAATGAGAACTTTATTTGTAGACGAGGAGAGTACAAAAGAATGGAAGTATTTTACTAAAAATAGAAAAAGTGAGAAAAATTTTAAAGAAGAGAGGGTCCTATATGTGCATGTGAGAAAACAATGGGTGGAAAGAAAAATGGGAGAAACACGCGCTTTTAGCGGCTTTAAAATGCAGCTGCGCCGAGGTGAAAGGGTGAAAAGGGAAAGGAGGATTAAAACAAACCTGCGTGCGGAAAGGGTAAATCCGTAAATGTCTGTCTGTCTGTGTCTGGTTAAAGGTTGGAAATTTATCCACACGTTACACTAAAATCGGCCGCCGCGTTCGCTGTCTTTCCGTAACGGCCGCGTGCCATGCACTCCTCTACCGTCTAAAAATCTCCCAAATACTGTTCAGAAAATAACGGGCGTGCAATGCCTTCTTTTTATTTTCTTTTTCTTTGCATTTAAATAATGAAAAATCATAGGTGTATCCAAATGTATATCACCCCTCTAATGCCACATATATTGACAAATAAAATAAATAAATAAAAATGGGTGATGTATATTTGATCGCATAAATATGTAATTTTCTTCAAAAAAGTACGAGGAATTAAATACCTAGTACTCCATCTATTTCATACTTTTTTAAAAAAAATATTTCCCAAAAAAATTCTCAGTTTTCATATTTGAAAAAACTTTTCTGCCTTGTTTCATTTCTTTTACTCTGTATCACTTTAAAAAACACTATTTCATTTTTCTTATTTTTCGTGTACGTACGGTTTTACCCAATGCCACCGAATATACATTTTATACTCGCAAGGCTCATTCTAATAAGAGGTCTATATTAGAGGTCTTCTAAGTAGCCTTAACAATATGATTCATTAATTCATTATTCTCAATTTAACAACTCATGATCATCATTCAGAATATTCATCATCATTAATTCATAAAAATCAACAATCAAACAATCATCATAATATCTAATAACAAATAGTGGTCTAGCATCTAATGTTAACACCTTATCTTACCGTCATGCATCACGTATGGTCTCAAAACACCATTTTAATTCCAAGAAATCATCATAGTTGGTTGATATCAAAAATATGATTCCATAGTTCAAGAATCATGTTTTATAAACAATATTTGATTAATATATGATATGAATCCCAATTAACAGCTACTGGCTTCGTTTTCTTCAGCATGGCAGGGAGATAATCGATTATCACTTCTGATAATCGATTATCAAATGTTCAGAATGGGCTGATAGTCAATTATCACATTCAGATAATCGATTATTCAAATTCAGAGAAGGCTGACAGTCGGTTGTCACATTTTGACAATCGACTGTTGCTCATTTAATTTAAGTTTAAAAAGTCCGCAGAACGAGCTATAGTCGATTTTTAAGTTGATAGTCGACTATTCATCATCTTCTACCTCGAGTCAACTTGCAGAAATGTCATTTTTACTCACCCAAACTTCAATTAAAGTATATAAAAATGTTTTCCAAGGTTCATAGATCATTTTGACATAATTAATTCATAGTTTTAACATCAAAATCATGGTTTGTGATTCTTAGTTCTTCAGGCATGTCAAATACAAACTCAACCAAATGACCATTTATGAACGTAGAAACGACCTATATGAACATGCTAGTCATTAGATATATCTACGGGCTTACTTTGAAGCTTAACGAAGATTCCTGCGAAAAAACGACGAAACTTCCAGCGAGAAAAGCTCCTAACTCCGACGACCTTTCACTAAAATGGCAGCACCACAATACTCTTCACACTCTCAGGAACAGTTAGAAGAAAAAATGAAGAAGAATGGTGAAGAATTGATTGGGTTGGGTTCTTCTTATATAGAATGGTGAAGAAGAAGAGGACACTTCTCCAAGTAGATGCTGCGTAGGAAACTTTCCAGTGCGCTAGGAGGCGCCGTCTCCACAATGTCCCTTATTGGAACCAATTTTTGTTCCAGTTGGGGTATAATTTTTGGTCCAACTTTCTCCGAATTGAATTCCGTTTGTACCGTTGCGACCAGACAGTCGAGCTCTATTCAATGACATAGGTTTTGTATTTATTCGTTATACTTTTTCTGATATCATATTTTTTGGATATTTGACTTTGACAGAAAGTCAAAACTAATTTGTTTGACCTTTACTATAAAAGGTGTCATATTCAATTCATATTATTTATTCTCATGATTTATTTCAATAAACCATTTCAAAGTTTACATCATAAACACATTATTAATTTATTCTTGATTTGGGTCTGTACTGAGGTCCCCAATCAAGGTTACAGTACAAGTCAATCATGTTGGATTTATCTCGATGAGATTTATTCTAATTATGTTTATTGGATATCAATACATATTTTATTTCGGCCCAACAACAATTTATTTTAATCAAAACAAATTTAATTATTTGAATAATTATTCATTAATAATTCTAGGGTATGTTTTGGAGCGTTACACACACATCAAGAGGCTAGTACTTTGGTTTATAATTAAATAAATATATACTCCGATACACCCGCACACATATATGTATGTATATGTATATATTTCCTCCGTCCCAAATTATTTGACACATTTGTATTCCCGAGGCAATATATCAAGTTTTTTCAATTTATTTTATTTACATATTGGTAATGAAATAAAAAATAAAATTTACATATAAAAAAACTATATGAAAAGTTCTTCGAAATAAGAGGTATCAAGAATATTTTATTTTATCAAATAATCAATGAAAACGTCGAAATAAACAAAAGTTCCCGACACCGCTGAAAAAGCAAATGTTGTGAATATTTAGGGACGGAGGGAGTATATTATTTTTCTTACAATCATTTACAAATATGTGTGACTGTGATAAATATTTGTAACTTTTGTAAAATGATGGTATCAAACTCAAAAGACACTTTAAATTTTTGAATCTTCTTTGTACGAAATTGGTTACTTACTTTTTATTATCTGATGGATTATTTTAACCCACCGACAATGGAGACAAAAAACAATCATAAAAGAATAGAAAAAACCTTGTAATATGATCTCTCTATTACTTCTATTAGTTTGATTCAACTTAAATTTATACATGAGATCTCCCCCTTCTATTTAGTATTTACATGACTCCTTCATTGGCCCATACGAAAGGACCCGAGACCAAGGCTCATCTTAACTAGTACTTGTATTGACCTTGAAATAAAAACTGGGCCTGCATCGGCTCATAATATACAAGCATAAGGAATAATTTACCCACAAAGCATATTGGGCCTCTCTCCTAATATCCTTCGCTTCCAAATTTAAGAAGAAACTATTTTCCAATTCTTATTTTAAAAGTATCATCTCACTTTGAATAGCATACAAAATTTTATTATCGTTCAAAATTATTTTATATATAAATTAGTTTCAAGATAAAAATGAGTATAAATTATATATCAAATTATTTTAAAGCTACTCTACATATTAAAAATTCTATAAAAATAAATTTGACATTAATATTTTATTTTTTCAAAGAATTAATTTGATTATAGAAAAAATTATATATATATATATATATATATATATATATATATATATATATATATATATATATATATATATATATATAAAGACATAAAGAAATACTCGGGTAACAGTTATTGTGATACGAAAAAAAATTTTGGCACGAAGAGTATAATCGAGATCCTTATAGAAAAAATTTAGTTATGTTCTCATCTTTTTTCAAAAAAAAGGTAATGTAGTTTGTATTGTTGCTAAAAAAGGATGAACCCTATCTTCGAAGGTTTTATCAGAAGTGGCAAAACATTTACCCAAGAGAAGATAATTAATTGCGTTATAGTAAAGAATGAAGCCTTCAAATTATAATTGGAGATTTCCTATACTTCATACTTAACGAGTCTGTTTGTGAATAGTATTGGATATTAACGTTATCACTTTAGTTAAATTTCAATGGTGTAGATTAGTTTAAAATTGATAACGCTAAATGCTGTCCGTGGAAAGCTTTTTCAAAATGCTAATGCAAGGTTTAACCTATAATTGGCTTATTGCTAAAAAGGATGAACCCTATCTTCCAAGATTTTTCTCAAAATCGACAAAATAATTACAGTAATGAATGAAGCCTTCAAATTATACTTGGAGATTCATATACTTTATACTTAACGGGTCTGTTTGTGAATATCGTTAGAGATTAACATTAGCATTTTAGTTAAATTTCAACGATGCAATTTATTTTGAAAACGTTAAATGCTTGCCGTAGATAGTTTTTTCAAAACGTTAACACAAAGTTTACCCTGTAATTGGCTCATAAATAAGAAATCCAAGACCAAGGAGTGCAACGGGATAAGACATCTACAAGTACCAGGTGCAAGCCTCACTGTTTGCCACCAATATACAATTAAAGTTTAATTTACTTTTTCTCAATAATCGTCTGACTAGATCTAAAATTACCTTAAAATTGAAGTTTATTCTTTTTATAAAACTAATCTCTAACCTTCCAAAGTTCAAAAGAACATTGAATTTACCTAACATAGTTGGCAAGGAGAACTCTAATTTCTTTTGGGAGCTGACGTCTCTAATTTTCTCTTATTCTGCCATAGGGCGGCGCGGCGCGGCGCCTCCTAAATTAAAGTACTACTTAAATCCCGTTTAGTTGACCGCCTCCTCTGTGGGGGTGGGGCCCACCAGCCCCAACTTTCTCCTCTTCTCATATGGCTTTCCCCCCCTTATTTAACCACGCCCATTCTCCTTCCTTTTCTCCCCATCCCTTTCCCCAAATCTCTCATCGCCGGCCATACTTCTTTTTCTCCCCTGTCTTCGATCTTCTTGATTTCATAGGCTTTCATGGCGGTGAAAAGCAAAGAAGACGGCGCCCGGAAATCGTACGGCGGCGGTACGGGAATGCACTACCGAGGGGTGCGGAAGAGGCCGTGGGGCCGATTCGCCGCGGAGATCCGCGATCCATACAAGAAGAGCCGCGTTTGGCTAGGCACATTCGACACCGCCGAGGAGGCGGCGAGGGCGTACGACGCCGCCGCCATGAAGTTCCGTGGGCCCAAGGCCAAGACAAACTTCCCGTTTCTTTCGGAGAACCGCAGCCCTAGCCAGAGCAGCACCGTCGAGTCCTCCGGATGCGAGAGTGGCGGCCACGCGCCGCGCCTCGCCGTGGAGTTGGATCTGACGCGCCGTCTCGGTTCGGCGAACGGCGAAGGGTGCTCCGCCTCTGAGGCCAGATCCGTGAGCAACGCGTACCAGTTCTTCCACCCTCAGCCGGCCGTGGCGGTTCTGCCCAACGGACAGCCGGTTTTGTTGTTCGAGACACTCTGGCGCCCTGGCCGGCCCCACCCTGCCGATCCGTCTATAGGCGGAGTTTACAGCGACCCGAGCGCCCACTCGGCGGCGCAAACGAGCCTCTCACGTAGCGGCACGGTGGAGAAAGGCCTTAATCTGGATCTGAACCTTGGCCCGCCAGGGGAGATTTGATCGGAGCGGACGCAGTAATTGGGCAATTTCTGTATATAAACGAGTAAAAAATACGCCGCCGCCGGGAGTGTTTGGTTCCCTTTTTTTTCCTTTTACTTTTTTTACAGCGGATGAAGGAATTGATTCCGATTGCTGTTCCTAAGGAATTTCAAGTTGTGTAATTCGTTTCCTATGCATGATTCATGGAAAAATCCTTAGAAAGATTTTCTGATTCTAATTGTCTGTTCTTATTGCTACGCCGGAATCTAAGAAACCCAGGTGCCCGATCTTATTTTGTCACTGATGAGCCGCCGTCGGATGGTGGTGCCGCCGGTGGATCATTAGATCTGGTTTGGTACATGATTTGGGAAGCAATGGTGGGCCTAATTGGATGGGGGAGTGGGTGATGCATTGGCACCCACTCAAATTAATGGTCCAATTACAACACAATTGGTCAAAGAAGACTTTGTTTTCCTTATCTTGGATTTTTAAAAAGTAAAATTAAATTTGTAGTGTGATACTCCATGTGTGCAAATTTAGTTTATTAGTTTAATATTTATTCGGTTAAACTTTAATTATTTTTATCATCCATTTTTGAATATGTGATATCATCTCTTGTTTTATGTTTTTATTCTGTTTATATTTAAATCATTTGTTATTTTTTACGAAACTTGATTGAAGTCATTTTTAATTTAATATATTTCAAAATTGATATAGAATTAAAAATAAAATGTGTATATTCAAAAGTATACTAAGAGTTTTACAAAATAAGACGCGACACATATATATTATTATCTAACTAAATAACAAGAATAGGTAAAGAACGTAACTAAAGTTTGACTCTATAAATAGTAAGTACACAATTAAAATTGAAAAAATATATGTTTATATGAAGTTTTATTTATATCAGCTTATACGAATTTTTATATTTGAAAATTATACTAAAAATTAATTATAGTATTTCATCAAATAATTAACTAAAATAGATAAAGCAAATAAATAAAATCAAACTATGTGAATACTGAACATGATGATTAATTTAGAATAGAAGAAGCACATACAAAGATATGTTATACTTTGCACATGATTATTTTTTATCATTATTGTAAAAAATTAAAACTAAATACAGTTTGAGACTGAGGAAATACATATAATCTTTCTTTTTGTACCCTAACTACATTGACTCTATTGCACTCTCACAATAGCGTACCGTCCATATCTTAAAATAAATTTCTTTTTTTGTTTGTCCAAAAATATTTTTATTACTAAAGTAATTAAGCTACATTATTTAACCTTTGAATAATTAGGAGGTTCACATTGTTTATAATTTCTTTGTATGAATTCTCTCAGAACATACTGTACTGGGATTCAATAAGATTGTTGTTGTTTGTTGTATGAATTCTAATAAAAAAATTTAACTGTACATCATGAGGAGAATTGAAGCATAAATTCCTCATCAAAATTAAACACTACAAGAATCAAACCAAAGAAGAAAAACAACAAAAGAAGTAAACAATCATAAACAAGAGAAGTTGCTCAAGGGGGTTAAGCTAGGCATGCCTAATATAATCCTTTTTCCAGTAATCCATAGCTTGTGCTTGAAAGTATATATATATGATTCACTTTGGTCTCCATGGAAAATCATCTAGCATGCAAAGCTTTGTTTATGAGAGCCAAAAAGTTTTTCCTCCTCTCCTTAAGGAAATTGAGTTATGACTTAGGTAAGGAGTGAACAACTAAATGAGAAGAGATTCAAGTAAGAACATCCTTGATAAGGATTAGTCTCGCAATAAAGACATTGTTTTCAGAACTATATTTTCGATTAACATTAACATTTTAAATAAAATTATAATGATGTAGTCTAATTCTGAAAGTCCTAATATTAAAAACTACCATCAGATAACTTTTTCAAAACGTTGATGCCAAATAAGGTCAAAATTAAGAACTTTGTTATGTTATAGAATTTAAAAAAAATTATGGGTTCACAATAAAAAAAGTTTTAACTTAATGTTGAGTTGATTCTCTAATATGTGTAACAAGAGAAAGAAAAAACTACATTATCAAAAATGGAGCATGCTACATGTACTTCAAAATTTATATCTCATTTGTACAGCAAAAGTATGCACTAATATTTTGATAGTTCACACTGACACAAAATATTAGTGCATTAATAAAAATTTACACTAACACAAAGTGTTGGTGCGTTAACAAAAATTAGCATTACACCAACACAAAATGTTGGTGCATCCGTGCACTGTACCAAATGTGGTACAAATTCTTGGAGTACAAATAACATTATCCATCAAAAATTTGAACAAAGTAACTCAGTTTTCCTTTTTCAAGTTGCCTTTATAATTTTTCTATATCTCATAAATTTTATTATTAAAAAATTATAAAAATAAAACATGTATTTTGTTAATTTGTTTAATGAAAGAGAAGTAATGTGAGTCCCATACATATACATTACTATAATAAAAAAATAAATTAAGTTTAAATTTTTTAATATTCAAAAAAAGATATTATAAATAATAAATCTCTATGTCCAGGTGTATTTGTCTAGTTTGATTTTTTGGTGTCAAATTGAACAAATTTGAGATTGAATTATTCTCATATTGTATCGCATACTATTACAATAAAATGAAATTTTGAAAGTTCACAACAAGATAAATATAATTAAAAAAATTTATATTTATATACTCCATCCGTCCTAAAATTAACTTCCCAGTTTGACTGTTGTAGTCAACTTTTTTAAACTTTAACCATATATTACGAAAAAAATACATTGAATTTTCATATAAATTTATTAGCAATAGATTCAATTTGAAACATAATTTTGAAATATATCATTTTATAAAATATATTTAAATAAAAATTGAGTTATTGATGATCAAAGTATCGCATTGGAGACCATGAAAAGTCAAATGAAAAGTTAATTTTAGAACGGGGGAATATGTTACAATTCTTGTTTAATTGAAACTCAAATTTATTTTATTCAACTCGAAAAAGTCAAATTGAACCTAAAGAGTATTGGAACTCAATATTCAAAATTGCTACAACATCATTATATTTTCACTCCAAAAATCAAACTTGAGCATAGAATATGCGATCCATATCCTTCTTTAAAAAAAAGTATTGAAATTAAGATTACTTTTTAGGCTTATTTTTTAAAAAAGAGAAAATTGGGATTAGATTTTAGTTAATGGGTGGGGAGGGTAGTGCGATAGAGCAGAAAATGTGGGCCACAAAAGCCGTCCAAGTGACTTAAGCGGCGGCGATATCGGGCGGCTCAGGCGACAGCTGGCTCGGTGAGCGGGTCCCAGAAGACATCGATTCCGTGTAGACAGGGTACATGTCGCGTGAAAGGTGGACGGCACGTGTACCCTCCTACGATTATTCAATTTTACCAAATCATTTTTTTATTCTTATTTTTACCCCCGCCCCATCTCCCCTTATCTTTTTTTTTACCCCGCACTCTTTTCTCAAAATCCTCGCGATTATCGGTCGGCCATCCAAGGGGGTTGAACCCATAGTTTTCACAACCCGACCGTTGACCGAACCGGTCAAGATACTGGTTCACTAGTTTACTGGTCAAACTAGTGGTTCAACTGGTCGAACCGGTGGTTTAAACATATTTAAAAATTATATAAATATAAATAAATATATATATATATTTGTGTGTGTATGTATATGTATATATATTTACACACACATACATACATACATATAGACACACACACATTCTCATTTATAAATATCTAAAAAAAGTAATTTATAACATTTAAGTAATATTATATTAATATACTTGAGTTATTTTTTAAAATTAAAAAATAAAATTTACATTTTAAAAAAATATAAAAGAATTTTAAATGAAGAGTTGATTTTATTTTTTTCAAATAAGTTGTTTAATATAAAAAAATGAAATCTTTGCATGATTTGCATTTTGTAATAGTATCAATAATATCAATGATTTTGTGTTTGACTCATAGCTATATAATATTATATTTATAAAATTGAAAAGGAATTTATATACAATCTTTTTTGTAATTATGAAATATTATAAAAGATTACGTAAACTTATAACAAAAAGCACCATTGGTTGGATGGTTAGAAGCTCAACCAAATGTCTACGAGGTCTTGGGTTCAAACCCCGAGGCATGTTTTGGAAAAAATCAGCAAAAAAAAAAACTGGGCGGACCGGTCCGACCGGCCGGTTCTTACCGGTTCAAACCGGTTTGGGCCGGTTCGAAGCAGGTTACGGTCTAATGGGCCCGGCCGGACCGATTGGACCACTGGTTCGCCGGTTCACGGTCCGAACCGGCCGGTCCAGTCCGGTTTTTAAAACTATGGTTGAACCTATCAAAAAATTGCTCCGAAATATATCTTACGCACTTAATTACTTTCTTCATATACAAATACTCTCTCCCTTCGAAAAATAATATTCTCATCTGATTTTTTATGGTTAAATTGTAAATTTTGATTTCGATATGTAGAAAAAAATATATTGTATCATGATATAAATTTAATACTCCACCCAGGCCGATAAAAAAATTGTAAATTTTGTGTTAAATGATAAAAAAATATTGTATCATGATATAAATTTAAATTCAGAAATATTATTTAGTTATGTGTTAGTACCGATCATTTGATAAGCTTAAATCTTTTCGGCAAATCTTGATTTTTAATAAATTTTATATTGATGGGTGTACTCCACCCAGGCCCCGGTACAATCTGATATCTTCATATATCAGAAATTCTTCAAATGGAAAGTTTTGATTAATAAATATTACAGCGGGAAAAATAAAATTAATAATAATGTGAACTTATAAATCGTTCGGATTTTACAATTAAAATAAAATAAGAAAATTGAAACTTCGGGAAGCTCGAACGGGAACGGACAGCGAAAAGAGCACGAACGGACAGAACAGGAACACGAACGGACAGAGGAAGAACACGAACAACAATAGCGGTAGGAGCGTCGGACGTAAAGCTGCGAGTCGCCGGAGCAGTTTCTGGAAATATAGGTTAGGAAAACGGAGTCGTCGGAGCTTTCCTTAGGGTAGTATTGCCCGTCTCCTGCACTAGCAAATGTGGGCAATCTCCTCCAGGATAAAACCGTAGCATGCTAAGTCTAGAGCAGTAGAACAAAGCACCAGCGAACGAGAACGACGGAAGTCACTGTCGGAGAAGACGATCGGAAACGGGACGTTGGACTGTGTTTCTGGTTTTTTTAGCTTGTGTCTTGTTCTCTCAACCAACCTCTCCTTAAATAGGAGGAGGTTTGGCTAATGGATGGACTGGACGGTATACCGAAGAGTCTCAAGTGACTCTTTGGCCGGCATGCATGCATTTCCCTTGGACAATCCACACTTCGTTAATCACGAAGTGTCCACGCGTGTTCAATTCGAAGTGGCCACGCGTGTTCAATTCGGTCTCGTAAAAAGCTAGCCCCGCCACGCGCCACGCGGCAGGCGCGGCCGTGCCTCGCCTCGCCTCGCCACACCTTGACGCGCGCGTGTGTCC